GATTCATCTAGATTACTAGATTTTTACTCGATTGCAACTATTGGGTAAGGACAGTAGAAATCGAGTAATCGGACGATTGCTAGATTTCTTCTAGTTGCATTTATCGCTCGATAATCGATCGATTTAACCATTGCTAGTTGCACAGACACATCTAGTTAAAAGTCCCTTTTCCAACTAGTAATCTAGATGGCAACTGGTCATGTATCGCCCGATTCCAGACGAAATGTATCTAGATTTTTCCCATAGGTGTGCAACGCGTTCTCATCATCATTGAAGTTAAACAAAACACTTATCTCTGATTGTTTAAAAATAGTCTAGGATTTTCTGAGAGCATAATAACCAGTACATTGTAAATTACAGTGACCTTGAAAAAAGCATGGGTGCATAAATGATCAACCACACTACTTCTCGTGACAATGAGTATTTTTCGAAAACAACTCAAAAACTTAATGAAAACCTATTCTTCTCAACAATAATCCATTGCAGGCAATTCTCACCTACCATGAAAAAATTCATAACGCCTTCAAAATCAACACAGATAACCGTAAAATTTTGTATGACAATGAATTTATTCGCTAAAGGTGATTATGGCATCGAAAAGACAGTTGGGAATTGCCTGTTATGAATTATTTTTGAGAAGAATAGATTTTCATTAAGTTTTTGAGTTTTTTTTCAAAAAACACTCGTTGTCACGAGAAATAGTGTAAATAGTGTGGTTGATCATTTATGTATCAATGCTTTTTTCAAGGCCACGGTAATTTACAATGTATTGGTCGTTATGTTTTCAGAAAATCCTAGACTATCCTTAAACAATCAGAGAGCTTTACTTGACTCTAATGCGGACGAGGACGTATTACACTATTTATCCACGAAAAAACCTGATAATATCTGTAGTTTAAGTCAGTTGGATATCTCACTGGAGAAAATGATTTTTACTATGAAAAGATGTCATGAGGTCTTGGTTTTCGATTGTCGAAGGCATAAAGTCTCTACCACTTTTCCTGTCAAAGTGTTATCCAAAAGATATCTAAATTTCATCTCTTTTTTTTACTGCGGAAACATGAGCATCTTTTCTATATTTGCATTACTTTATAATTCCGTTCATTTTGACGTATTTGATTCTGAAATTATCGCATAAGCACTTCAAATGAGCAGAATTATAAAGTTTCACAGAAGTTTTTCGGAGAATGCAACTTTTAGTTACCAGAAAATCGATCCTCCTAAAAATAAAATACTTTTGACCATAAAATAAGTCTTCTGCCATCTGCATAAAAACGCTGAAATGTAAAATGAACATGCTAATCTCAATTTTTATTTGATTTCTTTCTCTCATCTGAATGATCTATTCAGGTGGGTAGATATTATTCATTGTTTTATAAATATATGTTTTATAACCAACTGATCCCTTCTCCTCTACATTTCCCCTCACTTATATGAAACATAAAACAATCCAGCCCACTCTATTATTTAATTAATTTTTATGATAAAAATAGCGTACAATTTGTAATTTAAACACCTTAGCTTAATAACTTGTTTTGTGGTCATGATATGAATAATATATGTACAACCATATCATAGCTCTTTACAAATGACAACTTTTACTTATTGAATTATGTACACAATTATGAACAGAGAGAAAACGCAGAAAGAGGAAAATACAGCTTGTTGCTTCATTGATTAAAGAGTAGAAAAAAAAAAGGAGAAAAGCATTCATTATCGTCTGGTGTACTTCAAGTTAATAAAATGAGACGATCATACTAGGAAAGTGATTTTTTTCATGAACACAATTAAACAATCTCAAGGATGGTTTGCGAATCAATGTCAAAGGGATCTTTGGATATGATAGTTGATAATACCAGAGACAATTTAGAAAGTTTCAAAATTTTCTGTGCCAAAAGAGATTTTGCGAGAAGATAAGGCGTATAGACGAGTAATGAATAACTCTCTTAAACTGTTTGATTCAAAAGTCTATTTTCTCTGTTTTTCTTTAAAATTAAATGTAAGAAAAATTTCTTCAATAATAATAAGATAATGATTACATATCTTCTATAATTTGAAAATGTATCGATAAATGATTTTGTATACCGATTAAATGAATCATTTCTAATTGTTTCGACATGACGTATCTATATAGACTATGTTTAAGTACTCAATGAATATAAATGTAAATTGTTTTGACATACGTTGGGGAGGTGGAGAAATGATGATAGGATATTTTAAAGATAATTATATACTACTAACAACACGCTATTGCTGTTGTTACTAGTGTTTTGGTGTAATAGTACACGTGCTTGATGGCGTCTCTATTAAATGGAATCGTCTATCTAACGATAAATGTATTCTTAGTCCATTATAAAAGACTAAGAATGGATAATTAACCATGTCTAATTGGTTATGGTAGAATAAGAGATTACGTATGACGCCCGCAATAATTGTACTTCAAATGAAAAAACACTAGCTTATTATTAGAAGAAAGTAATAATCTCTATAAAAAAGAAAATGTTTTACTCAATTTAGTGAGTTTTTTAACCTTTTAAATAAATATTGTATGTACAATTTTTGTTAAGTTTGCCGATATTTATTAGAGAAACATTTAACTCAGAGACATACATTTAACAATCAGGTAAAATTGTTTTACTAATAATACAGTCGTCCTCAATTTAATCGAGAGATATGTGATCATAGCGTATCAATCAACTTTTGAACAAATTGAAATAGAATCGTTTTTAGAACAGCTCAAATTCGTCATCGTTTCCTCTGTTTTACTCTTCTTACCAAAAACAGTCATATCAAGAATTTTTAGGTTAAAACATCTATCATTATGCTCCAATAGTATTATAAGACTAAATGAAGCTTATGTAAAATATAATTGAAATATTTCATGATAAATCTACACAGATTTTAGACGGATGAAACAAAAAAAGTCATTGCCTGCTGATTTTTGAATAGTGAAGCCAATAAAGAATTATATAGTTCAATTATTTCACGATAGAAAACAAAATGAACAGTCTATCTTTCTATAAACGTCTCGTTTTTTAAATAAAAGATAGAAAACTTATTAAACACTCTTATCTATTTCTCACATAAAACAGAAAAGCATGAAATCAAAAATCAGATTATACACGGAGAAAAAAAAAACCGTGAAACTCATGGCGGTTTTTATACGCGGTTTCTCGCAGTCAGTTTGGCATGGTTTTTTTTCACTGTTTTAGTTGTTCATGCTTTTGTTTCCTATGGTTCCTATATGACAGTTTTGCTTTGCCGATTTTAAAACTATTAGAAAAATGGCCAGGTAAAACTGTGCAAGTAAAACTTTGAAAGGAAAGAAAAAAAGAACAGCTCCTCCAGGAATCGAACTTGAGGAATGAACCTGACGCTTGGCGAGTATGAAGTATGAGATCAAGACACAAACCACTGAACTGAGGAACTTACAGAAGTGTGTCTTCGCACTGCATACTCATCATGTGCTCGGGTAGGTTTCTGTAAAAACTTCAGGATCTTACGAAAAGCTGTCGCTGTTGAATTTGTAAAAGTCCTCGCTGTCGTACATGTATTTGAGATATAAAAGAGAAACGCTAAATGTGTAAGTGTGCACATATATCATATGATACCATCGAGTGTATTCTATGACGAAAGTCTAGAAACTTATGGTTAGGAGAAGATATTCACTATACCCTTTCTCTCTATCTTCTAAGACTATAGGCATCAGGACAATTTCAAGATAATCCCAGTTTCAAAGAAAAGAATTTGTAAAAAGCAAAAAGTTCACAAAACAGGCATATTTTGCAGAAACATGCGCTGGAAGGCGTCTTCCCCTCCTCCCCGTCACAAGTGCCAGTTTTACTCACTTATTTACCCGGGGCTATGCTCTTTACTGAATAATCCTGAGTGTGAGACAGATTTGTCGAGAAACTCAAGGCTCGCTCTATTAAACTTATGTTAGTTGATTAGAAAGACTTTTTGACGTGCTAACGACTGAAACTGCACATATTTTAATGAATTTTGAAGCTTCGACAAAATCGTCAAATAAAAAGCATGAAAACGCTTTCACGGTTTTCCTCGTCATGCTTTTGTTTTCATTGTTTTCCTTTGATAAACTGTCAGTTCATGATTTTATTTCTACAGTTTTGACCTTTACGATATTTTTTCATGGTTTTAATTGTACAGTTCTTAGACTGACGGTTTTATTTTACGGTTTTTCTTCGACGGTTCGAAAGTCGACGGTTTTGTTTCTTTGGTTTTAACCTTTACGATTTTCCATAGTTTTTCTTTTATACTTTTGCATTTTACGGTTTTCATAATGTAGTTTTTTACTTCATGGTTCTTCTACACGGTTTTTTTCCGATGGTTATGGATTTTACGATTTTTCTTACGGTTTTTTTTTCACCGTGTACTATTGAGAAATGACAAACTATCAACAAAAGAAAAATTATAAAATATTCTACAACTATAATATAGTTGAATATGCTTGATCAACGACACGTGCGAGTGGGTTTTTGTCCATAAGCTGAATTTATTAAACGATCATTCTACGTGTCATGACCGAAAAAAGTGATTCGGACAAATTTCACTACTCTCTTGTCTTGATTGATTATAGAGATATTGCAAAGATATCGATTTTCTTTTTTGTACACTGTATGTTTTCGGTTGTGTTGTTATGTTTCCATAACTCAGAGAATTCAGATACACTTCATCTTATTAAACACACCTTTCGTCACAAAATGAGAGACAATCGCGAACTTCCAGCGTTCTTCTGTACGAAAGATATAAAGACAAGAATGCAGCTCAAAAAGTGTCAGAATTACATTTTCAGCTACGTTAAGTGAAATAGCCTTGACAGGATAGTCAAAGTAAACGTCCGATCAACAAAAATGAAAAAAAGAAAGAGAATGACTTGATATTGTGCAATAAATGCAGAAAGTGATGAAATTTCTCATTTACATTACTGTATACATAATACGAGTTTAGAATCATCTTTTATTTTATTTTTTAAAAAGACAATGTCAAATATACCGTTTATCAAAGGATTACTATTATGTGAAGAATTTTTTAAGCAAATTATTCATCCATTGTTAAATAAACATTTTCCTACTCTTCAATATGCAGCCTGTCGTATTGGAAGTGGCTCAGATGTTCTAGGATATGATACAGAAATATCACGTGATCATGACTGGGGTCCAAAATTAGAATTGTTACTAAACGATGAAACATTTGCAATATACAACCAACAATTAGATGAATGTTTTCAACAAAATTTAAATGGTACAATATGTGGATATTCGATGAAATTTTATCCGTATATTGAAGATTCTGGTACAACAGTATTTGTAAATGAATCAACAACAGCCGTAACAACAGTACAAGAAGAAAGGAAAATGAAACATAGTATTGTTATTAAAACAATGAGACAATTTTTTCTTGATTATTTAAATTGGAATATTGATGATGATATAACAATTTCAGATTGGTTAACATTTCCTAGTCAACATTTACTAACAATACGAGTGGGTAAAGTATTTTATGACACTGTTGGACTAGAAAATATTCGTTCAAGGTTAAATTATTATCCACATGATGTTTGGCTCTATTTATTATTAGCATCTTGGCAAAGAATTGGTCAAGAAGAACATTTAATGTGTCGTGCTGGTCAAATTGGTGATGAATTAGGAGCAACACTCATTGCAAATCGTTTAATACGCGATATTATGCGACTAATATTTTTTATAGAAAAACAATTTATTCCATATTCAAAATGGTTTGGTTCAGCATTTCAAAATTTAAAAAATAATCATTTGTATCCAATATTAAGACAAATACAACTTGCGGACACATTTTTGGTAAGAGAAAAGTTTTTCTCTGAAGCTTTAGAAATAGTAGCCAAATTACATAATGAGTTAAAATTAACTGATCCATTACCAATTAGAGTATCACAATTTTTTTCAAGACCTTTTTCAGTTATATGGGGTGGTATGTTTGCTGATAAAATATTCGAGAGAATAATGAATCCAGAGATAAAATTAATTGCTTTAAAAACAAAAATAGGAAGTATAGATTTGTTTGTTGATAGCACCGATGCATTACTTCCAGAAATGCGTTTGAAAATGAAACAACTATTTACCCTTCATTAAATATCAAATATTATTTTAAAGTACTTTTGAATAAAAATAAAGATATGTCTTGAATAATTTTCAAATAGATTGATGATCACCAGCAACAATACGATGATGATAAATAATTTTCTTCTATTAAATTATGTAAAGTAAGTAGATATTGAATTAGCACCAAACAAACTAAATTACATTCGAGATGCATTATCTGATACTAGTGTATCAGAATTTGTTTTTAATTTTGAATTATCTAATAGAGTAGTTGAGTCAAGAGATTTTTCTGAGACTTTTTGTTCTCGAACATTTTTCTTTGTTGTTGTTGTTGTTGTTGTTGTTGTTGTTGCTGCTGTCGGTTGTGTATTATCAATCATCTCAAAGTCATCGTCCTTATCATTCAAGTTGTTTAATACAGCAAATGATGCTTCATGTTCACCATCATCAGCAAAAGCAAACGATTTCTTTTTGTCTTTTAACCATTCAGGATAGCTGTAACAAGCTTTCAACATTGTTTTTAAGTATATTGGTATTCCAAGCTAAAAATGAAAATCAAAAATTTATCTCTCTCAAATTTTATATTCAATTTTATTCTGTTTAATTACCTTTGCTGCCCAATTCCAAAATGGTTTTGGAATATTACCTTTTGGATCTTCAAAATACCAAAAAAATGCTAAAATAAATAGATAAAATTAAAATAATTTTTATAAAAGATTATTTAATAAATTAGAAACCTTTTAGACCATGACCGCCATCGGAACAGGTGAGCAGTTGAGATTGTGTCACATCAATACGAACGACTTTCTTACGTGGTGGTTCTGTTGTAAACGGTTCACTATGAGTCATAATAAAATATATCCGTCGATCATCATGAGTAAATTCCCGATTTTCTCTGATAAAAACATACTTTAAACATTCAATTAAGGAAAATGTTTGAGAAATTCATGCAAAATGTTTGACACTAATGTTTATTTAAACAAAAAGATACGTCACGATTATCCAAAAGAAGTGGAAATACCACTTGCCAATAAATTCCATCTCGAACTCCATCTCTTACTGGATAAGCTTCTAAAATAGACGAAAAAAAGTATAAACTATTTAAAATTAAAATAAGGAGAGACGTTGACTTGAACTTATTTAAATTCTGACCTTTTAAATACTTGTCCCATACTGCTCGATATTCCAAATCAAGAAAAACCTTGTAAAATAGATCTGGTGATATATCTGGAATCTCTGCATAACACTTATATTCATAAAGTTTACTTCCCTATAATTATTTATATAAGAACAATTGATTTTATCTCATGAAAAGAGTAGACTATTACACTATACCTCTTTTTGTCGTCGATAAACTTTCACACCATGTCCTTCACTAAATAATTTCCAACCAACAACATTTGGCTCATCAAGTTCACGAAGAAATTTATCAAAATCTGATAGCGGATTCATTAAGATGAGTAGTTAATATTTTAAACTAATGTGTTATATGAAAACTTTTCTAAAATATACAGATAAGAAATTGGCGTTCAATTTTAAATTGTGATTGTTTGAAGACTCATTTATTGACTCGTATTTTACACCGGAACTAGGGTTAATTGTATTAAATGTTGATTTTTTTTCTCTCTCTCTCCCTCATGTTCTGTTTGTCTTCTTTTTTTTCTCATAAAAACGTTTCCATAAATAAATATTGACAGCCTCGATTTTTCTTTCTTTGCTTTTATCAACTATCAGCAAATTCATATTTTTCTTATCAAAACCGAGGCATACTAAAAAGTTTTGAGATAAAAATATGATAACAAAATCCACATCTTGTAATGACAAAACTATTTTGAACGATAAATGCAGTTAATAATGTAACATTTCATCTAACTAGCAAGGGTATCAAACGATCCCCGGTGTAAAGAATTAGTTTGATAAAACAGTAAATCATTTTCAATGATTAGATTCATTATTCTTATGCATCAATTTTTTTTCTCTCATGATTATTGAAAATAAATATTGCTAATTTCAAGACTATTTATACTTAATGTTTGTTGAATGCATAGAATTGTTCGATATAAAAACGAGATATAATGGAGTTTGCATTCCTATGTGATAAGATATATATACAAGAAATGAATTGATCGATTCTATTTTTTCAATCTACTATTTTGCCTTTTTCCACACTGCACTAAAACAAGTGTCTCACACTCTAAAAATAAAAGTGTACCTAAAACTACTCTTTTTAGGAATCGCTTTTCTGCCAAACACTTTTTAGAAAGATCACTCCAGAAGCACACTTTTGAAAAGTGATCTACAGTAGAATACTTTAGAAAAAAGATCACTTCCAGAAGAAGCGAGGTGAAGCACTAAAAGGGTTCCAGAAAAGAACACTTTTTGAAAGTATTCATCAGTGTAGCATTTTGACACCGCTCACGAAAGAAAGGGTGGGAAATAGGATCCGTTCTTTACACTACAAGTTTTTTTTTAACAGTGCAGGGCACTTTTTTGGATGATGAATGGGATACTTTGAAAAGTACCCCACTATGGGGCACTGTTTTTCATCTTTCACGCTAATAGTGGCCCCAAAAATTGCTCCATAGTGAGACACTTTTTAAAGTGTCCCATTCATCGTCCAAAAAGGTGTCCTCGAGCCCCTGTTAGTTTTGGTAGACCGAAGTCCACTGTCTTATCGCATGTTGCGCGGCGAGTCTTGCGATGGAATTACGTAACACGTTCACTGTTAAACTCGTGAAATAAGGCGTGATTTTCTCGCGCTCATACAAAGATCGACCTTTACACTCGAATATTTTTCCACTATCACTCTTATCCATGTCTTTTTCGCGTAGTTGAAAAATTTGCCAATTAAAATCAAGATCAAGACTAACGCTTACCGATATGGTCAATTACTAAGATATAACAAGATTTTGAAAATCATCCGAAAATCAGTGAGAGTTATATACTAGGCATCTAACAAAACAAAACGGTGAATAGGACTGCATGAGAGTCACACCGCGACCTTATATGATATAACGATT